TGCCATGTGTATAACTGATGGCACCCCGTACTTGGGATCCCTACTAAGTTTCCAAATCTAGCTGCCGAGGCTGCAGCACTTACCATGGTAGAATGAAATGAACCAGTGTGTCCTTGCACAGATGGCATTAGTAACTGTTCTGATGCATTTGTTGGTGCATGACTGAGATATCCCACACAGATCACCTGTTGGTCCCTGGGAGGATAAAGTTGCATAGATGTTCAATGCTACAGTGAGCTTCACAGCCACTGCAAGAGGACGGCCTCTCACTCCTGCAGCCCTCAGGACCCACTCAAGCAGCTGACTCAGTTCTGTCACTGTGTCCCAAGACATACAGAACCTACGTCATCACTGTGCCTAGCTCATCCCCAGGAAATAAAGCTGAGATCAAAAGACTCTGGGCCTCCAATGTACTCACTGCACACATCCTGAGGGACCCTCTGACAGTGTCTTCTTTCTCAACTGAGTACTGCACATCCTCTGGGTCAGCATACAGCTGCTCCTGAGCATGCCACTGGCCATAGTGCTCATGCATTCATCTTCACCCTGTTAGGTAGCCACAATGATCAAAATGCCACCAGGGATTAGGCCCATCACCTTCTATGGAAAAGCTCTAAATTGGAGCAGAAAGAGTTTTTTTTTAACAGTTCCTGCAGATGGGGCTAAGCATATTTCACCACACAGTGAAACAGGCCGTACCCGAATAACAGAGGACAGTTCTGTATCACACATTGACATTCAGCCTTCACATGTGTAGAAACTTGGTGAAAGTGCTGAATCAGCAGAGTGACTGAAAAACATCATCAAAAAGGAAGTGCCTTCAGCACAGCACCACCCTCTCACCCTGGACCTACATCAAATGCTAAACTTCATTTGCATTTACTGCAGACCATCATAACACATATGATAGATGAGGAGTAGAAGTTGCGTGGCTCAAACAGGCCCCTTGGAACCAACACAAATAGTGGTTCTCTGTCAACAGTGGCCTTTTGTACCTTTATTGCTGACAACTTCAACATTATTGAGATGCCCAACTTCAATTTACAAGCACCAATGGATGCAATAATTCAGCTTTGATCAGCATCTGACCCCTAAACACCTTTGCTCTGTATTTATAGCAAATAGGCAATGCAACTACTGCAAATTCAATGTAGCTCCATTTTGCAAACAGCTGCTTCATGTTTTTTTGTTACTGTAATTTTGATGCATCAGAAAGTACGAATCCCATGCTTTCAGCCATCAAACTGACACTTATTCTGCCCACCCTAGGCATTGGTCCAGCCATTTTGTCGTAGCTCTTCAGACCTAGAGAAGGGACAGTGATGGTTGGGAACACAGCTTATATTGTCAGCACTGGAATCTGTCTATCATCAGGTAGCCCTGTCCAAGCCTCCGTGCCCATTCTTACCTCGCACTATCCCAACAGCCCATTTTAACCCCTTCCTGCTCAATGTGGAGATCTACCACATTGAATGTTATCTACAACTTTCCTCCCTGACCCCTGAATCCTGGCATTACATACGGATGATACCCACCATGCTCCTTTACACTTCCCAGTGGAGATCACGGTGATGCTCACACTCACTAATCATCTCTTCCCATGGCCTAACATGCCCTCTGATGCTGTTCTGCATTCTCACATTCCGCATCCCCAACCACCATCCTTGTCCCCACTTCTACAAATGCCTCTGTTATCCCCACCAACCTGGACTCTCCTACCCCTCTGTCATTGATTCCCACTTCACTTACAGGCCCTTAATGTACCCTACTGAAGGAGTGGCAGGTGAACACCCAAAACTGCAACTGCCAAAGACTTTTGACAATCTCTGGTGAGCAGCCCCTAGACATGACTGACCAGAGGCTTGACTGCTGGGGTTTTCAGCTCCCTGACTGAATGTGCAATTCCCCTGAATTTGTGTGTTAGCCCTCTAGGACTGACTAGTGAATACACCCAGACTGTGGCTGGGTCCACGTGTGTCCCAAGTCAATGAATGACCATGGCAAAACACCTGAATTGTGTGCAGACTTTGGCCATGACTGACAGTATCAGGTCACCCTGAATGACAATGCATCCCCTTTAACTAGAATGAGGAGTAATCCCTACCAGTTTCTGACATGGCCATTGTTTGAATGAATGTGCAGTGTGTTTGCCATGCAGGAATCTGATACGTTCTGTAGGTGATAGATTGATGTCCTGATGTGCTGTTCACTAAGATGTCACACCTTACAGTTCTCTATAGTCTGCGCTAATGAACCCTTCAAAACTACAGTAATGAAAGTCTTTAGCTCTGGCTAAAGTGTCAACGTGTTAACAGGCATTAAAAAAACATGGCAAGGCCAGTTAAGACACGGATGCTAAGAGTATGCAGGTAGGTGCTCAGTGAGCTAATGCAAAGGGAGCGAGTGAACAGTCCTGATGCAAGCTGGTCCATTCTGTGAGCTGGGTATATGTCCCTGTGCAGTTTCCCTGCTTCAGTTTTCTTAATGCTGGTTGCTGGTGGGCCTGCAATGCAAGTCTCTGCTTCCTGGGTTGGCTGGCCAGTGTATCGGACAGGTGTCATGGTGTTCATGAAGTGTTGGCAGATGCCAGTGAGCACAGATAAATGTGGTTGCGGATAGCACCTGAGAATTGTGCCCAGTGATCATGTGGAACAAATGGTGAGATGTATCTGTCAGATACCTACTTTGGGAAAACTTGAAAACAAAGCCAATCTCAGTATTGTTTGGTAAGTTTGGCAAGGTGGGAAACTGAGTATTAATGAGTTGTTGTAGCATTAACAAGGTGTTTAATCCTCATCAAGTGGCATTTCACCACAGCCTAGCAATAATCTCACTGTGCCATTTGGGAAAAGCATAAAGGATAGAGCAAGTGGAAATCGACATTAAGATGGGCCTTGCCAGACATCTTGTCCAATTTTGACATGCCTTGCCATAGCCCACATTGCTTAGGCCCTTATAAAATTACACCCTTAGATTTTCAGAAATTAAGCAGGAGCTCTTAAGTGTCCATAAATTCCAGTCCTAATTAAACTCACAATTAATGTGACCCTGGTGTACAATTCTACTTTGTCTGTCTTGGCTTCACTGCAGCTTTTGAAGTGGCTGCTGCACCAAACCACCTCTATTGTCTAGCTGAGTGCAACTGCCCTCACTTTGTTCCAATTTTACCCTTTCAACTATACGCAGAGTTTTGATCAATGTTACCATCTGAAATGGTCACTCTTCAGATCTTCCGCCCCACCTACAAAGCTAAATCCATGACAACTTTATGTAAGGGCACAGCAGATCCATCAAGGACAATTAAGATCTTGACTACTACTCTTAACACCTCCAATTCCTTAGTCTTGCCAAATTAGTCCTGGAAGAGCTGCAAATTCATCCAATTTAACAAACACGTCCCAAATGTTTTGCTTTTTGGGTGCTCAATAAACCTTTTCCTCACTATCACTTCCACTTTATCTTCTGCAACTGTCTCATGCTGAACCAGGTGGTTTGCAACCTCAATGTCCTATTTGACTCCATCATGAAAGCATGTTACAACTGCATATCTCATCCAGCACTACATCATTTACTGATATTTACTTATTTCCAGCAGGGACTGCATAGGCATTATGTGCTGCTAAAATGCTTTTGGACTTAACTAAATTCAGTCTTTTGACACTCCATCATAAACTCAAGTTCATCTACCACTCTGCTGTCCATATCCTAATCCACATCACATCCTGCTTCCCATCATTCCTACAATTTAAAATTCTTATCCCCGTATTCAAACATCTTTATGACCTCCAACTTCTTAACCTCCCTAACCTCCATCATATTTCTTCATTACTGTAACTTTGTTCACTTATACCTTTCGTTCCATCATTTTGCTGTCAACACAGAAGATCTGAGATTTTTCCCATAAACCTTGATACCTCCTTTAAGATTGTCATTAAACTCCATCTCTTTGACCAGGCTACCAGTAATTACTTCATAAATCTCCTCCTTTTGTATAGATTTTTGTTGGATTATTTCCGTGTAACACTTTGGAACATTTTCCTGTTAATTGACATTTGCATAATACCTTTTGTTGTTCATGAGGTTCAACAAATGGATATCCCAAAAATACATATGCACTCCTTTGAATGCACAGTAAAACCACATAAAAAAGCCATTTTGGAATTAATCAGCTCATCAATACAGTTTCCATTCAAGTTTTTTTTTTAAAATTACATCTCCTTACCATTTAAATTGGTTGGAACATGGTTCAAATAGAATACAGGTGATTAAAGACAATCTAGTATGGAACGTAACTCAACTAGCAATTGAGTGAATTATTTGCCCATTTATATTGTGACCATTAATTCTATAAACAGTGCCTCTTCAATGTTTCACCACAATCTAAAGTCCACACTTTTAAATAATAACAGATGAATAATACACAAACATTCAGACAAGGCTCCAAATATCATGTAATGTATAAATGCTGACTATTCAAAAGGAGTGTGCTGACTTACAATATTTTTTTGATGTTGTAGTGTATCAGAATGTTCTATTTACTCAAACAGCTGTTATATTGACCAAAACAATTGCCATGGCCATGCAGCTACCGTTGTGTGAGCAACCAGTACAAAACTAGATATATCCATGCTAGCACACATCAATTGTGACCTTTATATAAAATCTGTAGCAGTGGTACTGAGTTGTTCCAGTGTCACTAGATGGGACCAGGAGAAATTAAGGCCAGTGCTGTAAGATATCACAAATGAGGGGGAAAAAAAAAACACTATTATATAGTGGTGATATTCTTACCACAAGTTTAAAAAAAGTGGGGTCAATTAGCTCTATACCCAGCAGTGTCCGATGCTTGTAGTAGGATGTTGTCTTCAAAATGTATTGCAAGTGTATTGGTTAAAAGGTGATGCAAAGTGGTTCCACTTGTTATCAATTATCAGATTGAATTATTTATTTTATTACACAAAGTCAATTAGGTTGAAGTTGCTTCACAATGAATGAAGGTAGAATATAAAAATAAGTTTTATTTGAAAAATATAAATAGAATACAAAATGTATTTTTAAAATACAAACATAATTACACAAATTGGTATACTTAATGTGAAAATATAACTGTATTCAAAGTCATAGACACATTTACTTGATAAATGCAAAGTGTTGGCAATGACTATCTTCCAGTTTCCAAAACAAAAGGAAGAGAAAATAAATGTACACAACCATTATTTAGCTCTGCCGGACATCTTGTAAAAGTTTGTTAATTTCTGCTACAAGTTCACTGGCATCAATAAGTTCATGTTTACTCTCGCGCTTACAAGGGGCAAGCTGGCTGAGAACGTTATCAAATTCATCTTCTTCATAATTCTCTGGGATTTCCTCCATGGCTGGCAACCATTTAGAGATGGTTGGTGGATTTATATGATTAACTGGAGCTACGCCAACATTGTTCACTGGGTTCTGGAAGTGCGTGCTTGCTGCCCAAGCTGCCACACCTTGTGGATAGGGAGCTGGCTTCAATGCCAAATGTCCTTTCTTATTTTCCAAAGAACTTACACTGCCAACTTCATTGCATTCTGAATATATGTCCATTTGTGGAGGCAGCAATCGTTGGAAAACACTGTTCATTTCTGACAGGAGGGATGAAGTCCCAAGATCTTCAGTCTCCTCATTCTGGGACTCTTTGCCAAAGGTTAAAAAGCTTGTTTTCTTCTCATTGGAATCGGAAGAGTCACAGTCATCTTCTTGAAGCTGTTGCGTATCCTCACCAGGAATAAACATGTTGCTCCGGTAATCAGTAGAAACACCTGAAGACAGAGGTGGCATCCAGCATTGATCAGAGTGGCCCAATACTTTGCATTCATCTGTGCACAACTTCATTGCTGCAAAACAAAAAACAATTGGAAAGGTTGATCAGAGATCATCGGTGTGAAAGTAAGTGGAGAGTCAAACGACATTTCCTTCAAACACCACCACTATGGGGGTACAAGTAGTTATGTTACAGGACTAGTAACCTAGACGTCTAGATTAATGATCCAGAAGAGTTCAAACCCGACCGTGAAAGCTGAACAACTTCAATTAATTAAATAAAATCTGATATAAAAAGTTAGTACCATTTACGCTGACAACAAAACTACCAGATTAAAACTCATCTGGTTTACTAATAACCATCAGGAAAGAGGTTTGTCGCCAACTCTTCACTGCCTCTAAGATGGCCAGGCAAGCCACTTATTTGTGCTCAAGGTGGCATGTCATCACCACTTGATCAATAATAATTAAGGATTGATGACAAATGCTGACCTTATCAGCGATATCCACATCCCATAAATGAACAAACAAAAAACGTTTTGTGCAGACTAATACTTAACACCTAACACTGCCACATTTTCTCAGAGGTAGGAATTAGTCTTCAGTTTCCACTGATAAATTAATGGACATGTCAATGCACCATACCAGAAATACTAGAAAAGTGCACTGAAGATAAAACATGGCACATTTAATGGTAAGACTAAGGCATAAAGTATTGGACAGAGAAAAAACAAGATGTTCAATCAATAATTTGTGACTTATTTATTTTCAGCTATTGTTTTCTTTATTTCAGTGAATATAACTTGGTTCTTTCCTGAACTCTCAGTAAGCATGTGTCAGTGAGGTTTTCAAGACTGAATATATTGTTCAGCTGGGATCCTTTTATCCACAGTATGCCTTCTACTTCATAGATCGAGACTCCACACAAAGTGTGTTTTGGTTCCATAACTCACTTATTTGCAGTTGATAGTACTGTTAAAAGTGAGAACTCATATACAGTGAGTAAACTTCACATTTCACAGATGCATCATTTGGTTAAGGATTGGAGGTGTATTAAATAGGAAGTAAAAGAGGTTATATTATATTCAAATCTCAACCGTGCTGAATATTTATGCTGTGCTCCCAGAATCAAAACCACGTTCTGGGAGAGTTTAGATCACTTCTAGGTCAAAATATCAGAATTACACAACTCTTGTTACTTTTGAGAAGTACATTCCAGCTTAGATGGAGACATCACAATCATTAAAATCTCTGTCCAGTTGCTAACCAGTCTTGCATGAAATGAGTTTCAAAACAACTCTGAGAGAACTCAAGGCCAAAGCAAAGCAAAAATCTTGGATTCAGTGACAAGTTGCATAATTTGAAAACAAAATTTTAAAAAAATTAAGGTTAATGTAAGCTCCATGACTGAGAGGGGAAACATTTAGCAGCAGTTAGTTTACAGCCAATACTTAATGTTGCTATGAAGGCGTGGAAGCAAACAAATCATCTTGCGATCTTTGATCAGCACTAAAGTGTAGAAAAGCACCAACAGCAAACAATTGTTAACATTCTTAGTAAATACAATGTGTGCTTATTAGTAACACAATTGTACCTGGATGAAATCGATGACTGTCCGTGACAAAGAGATCACTGAAACCTTCCCCTAGAAGTCTATCGATGGGAGAATCTCTGCCCAAATCATAGTCACTATCTCCAGCTTCACTGTCACCCCTACCACTATCCTTCAGACTGAATTTGTCCATATCTTGAAGAGCATATCTACAAAAAGATAATGATAAATTATTAGAACCACAGGTATCATAAAAGTTGATTATAAAAATACAGGAATTAAATGCAACATTTTTACCTGTAACTTCTGGAATATTTATTTCCTCGAAAGTTTGGTCTTGGTTGATACTGGCCTTGATGTAGCATGCTCAGCAGCTGAGAAACTTGCTAAATGCAACAGAAATAAAGAACCAAAAAAATTTACTCCTTGGAAAAACACAAAAATTTCTAATAACATCTGTGATACTTTTTCCACACATAAGGGATGAATTTTCACAAGGGTTGTTCCCAATTGTCTATTGTGACTTCAAATGGATTGACTGTGGAAATCTTGGAAAAACAAGGGTCAACACTGCTTACTCTATTCTTCCAGAGTCTTCGTAGATATTGAAAGGCTAAGTAAATCAGGGAAAATTCACCCCCTGAAAATGTGTACATTTACTTTTCAAAACCGTGTAAGGACATAACGCAAATGGTATGAAGAATGAGGAAATTGCTTTTCTGTAACTGAAATGCTTTTAAAAAACTTCTGTCTACTCGTTTTTCCAATTACAAAATTCCTAGTTACTATTACTTGTAGATTGAGAAATGCATTACAAATTTGTTTCATCTGAACTAATTCCTGTTAAAATTTCAGATGAAGATGGATACTTGAACCTAACATTTGACATCAAAAGTATTCAGTTTTCACTCAATATTGAGTTTGCAGTTCAATGAAAGTTGTGCAGCATAAGTTACATGCTGCCAGTAGAGAATTGATGTCACTAGACTGAGATAGAGTGGAAGTAGGTATTACTGGTAGGAAGATGACTTTCCACTTCAAAACAAAATTAAATATTCCTTAGGAGAAGGAGTCATAAGGGTGTAAAACTAAACAAGCTAAATATAAAATATTATGACTTGTGCTCTTCTATCTATTGAATTAATGCTCAATTACATGGTTGAAATTCCTTACACATTATTTTCAGTAAACCAATTGCTATTTCCACTTTAAATCTGTGCACCCTTGGAGAAGATGTAACTATTTAAATCTAGCAAGTTAACAACACCAATAAAATAGTGCATGAAGGAATAAGATATTAATTACTGTGTACTAATATTTGCTGCAGAGACACAATATAATGTGGTCTACTAAATGTAACAGCATAAAATCAACATGTTGATTTATAAAATAATAATTAAGCTACTATATCAAATGAAACTTCCCATGTGGAGGTGTTTTCAGCACAGAACTGACTGTCTTGAGTCTATTATCAGACACCAAGGCCCTCAGAACTGTTGAAACATTACTCTTCACAATCTTCACAAGCCACTTGAAGGCTCTTTGCTCAGTTCTGTCTCCATGAGCAATGGTTACCTTCTGACATAAATCACTCAAGTAGCCATTTTTAATCTGAAATGGACAGTGGATGATGGGTGATTTGTTCTCATTAAATATCAAACAGCTCTTTTCAAGCCTTTACCCAAAATGCATCTATACTTCCACTATAGGTCACAAGTCAGAAAGAAAAGCTAATTTTACACTATTCTAACTCATATGTTGAAGCTATTTGTAGTATTCTGATGACTATACTTAGATGAAATAATACAGCAATTGAATTGGATCCTAAAAATCAAATCATTCAAGTACTCACACTTCAACTTCCTGAACCATTTGGGAGCCCATTATTTCCATACTTTAACATGAAAGAATGGATAGGAAAGATTTACATAGAAAATCATAGGTTAAAGCATCTTAACAAAGAAATTACACATTGGTAGATAAGCTGATAGCAAAATATGCTAAATACTTCAACTAGTTACTTACTCTCTATTGTGTCAACCAAGAATAGGGTATCAAGAACTGCTTTTAGTTTGGAATCACAAACTGAATGCCAAATAACTTTTATCGTGTATAAAGCACAACATTCAAGACACTAACCTCAACAGGTGGAGAAGTATGTGTAAGCTCCAATGAAAAGTTTTCAGGTAAATGGTTGGAGGATAAAGTCACCAAGCTGTTGAGAGACTGGCGGCTATGATTGGTTTGTCTGCTGCACATCTGACCCCGATCTATTCCTGAGAGAGTTGGCGAAGAGGAAGGAGTGGCCTTATGCTGCGATCTGATGGGAAGAGTGCCAGTTGCCGTGTGCACCAGAGTGATGTCACCTTTGTGAATCTGCCTGGATGGTCGCTTGGGGTGGTGCTGATAGGTGGATTCTGCCACTCGGCAGTTGTAAGATCTGTTGTCCTTCTTTTCGCGATTGCATCTTGTGGCAAACATTGCCATGATGATAAGCAAAACAGCACAAATTACACCCAGTGATATGATGATGATCATAGAGTCATCTAAACTATTCTGCTCATCATGGTGGATTTCTTCTCCAAGTTCAGCCAGCACAACTTTTAGGGCAGCCACTGTGCTCAGACTTGGGATTCCTTTGTCTTGCACAGCCACCATGAGGTCCCAACTTTTCTCCTCACCCAAAACCCAGCTCTCATTGGTATAAATGTCACAAGTTCTTGGATCCAAAGTAAAAAGCCCATGTTGGTTTCCCTCAAGGATGCCACAAGTGAACTCGGCATTGATGCCTGCATCCTTGTCAACCACTGTTATGGTAGTCACTAAATAATTGGGCCCAGCATCAGTAGGGATTGGGACTTCTGCCGTGCCATTCCGCAAAACGGGCTTAAGAATGGCTGGCGAGTTATCGTTCTGGTCAAGAATGGTCAGGACAACAGTGGTGTTGTTAGTAAGCTGAGGGGTCCCTCCATCCCTGGCCTGGACCGTAAATGAAATCCTGCTCATCTCTTCACGATCGAAGGTCCTCAGTGCATAGATTGCTCCAATAGATGGATCAATGGTCAGGTAGGTAGTGATGGAGCTGCCAGAGATGTAGGACTCCAGAATGGTGTAGGTCACCTGGCTGTTCTCGGCAAAGTCCGCGTCGGTGGCTGTCATCAAGGTGATGAAGAGCCCGGGAGAGTTGTTCTCCAGCAGGAACAGTTCGTACGTACTTTTCTGGAACTGGGGGGCATTGTCGTTATCGTCGGCGACCTGGACGGTGAGGTACTGGACGGTGGTAAAACTCGGAGTGCCCAGGTCCTCGGCGATCACCTCCAGCCTGTACTGGGCGATCTTCTCACGGTCCAGGGTCTGGTTGGTCTGGATCATGTAGTTTTTCTCGTTGGTCTGCAGGATCCTGAAGTGACCGGCGTGGCCCTGGAGGCGGCAGGTCACCTGGCCGTTGGTGCCCGAGTCTCTGTCGTCGACCCGCACCACGGCCACGAAGGTGTCGCGGGGAGCGGCCTCGGACACCGAGGCCACGTCGCTGCCCAGCGGGACCAGGCTGACGGCGATCTCGGGCGGGTTGTCGTTGACGTCCAGCACCTGGACGAGGATCTTGCAGTGGGCCGGGATGGAGTTGGGACCCAAGTCCTGAGCCTGGGCGTCGATCTCGTAGGTCTGGCTCAGCTCGTAGTCGACCGGGCGGAGCAGTAGCAAGTGCCCGGTGTCCGGGTCAATGCGGAAGGTCTCCATCACCCGGGGGGACGCGTGGCTGCCGAACGAGTAGACCACCCTCCCGTTGCTGCCTTGGTCCGGGTCGGTGGCGTTCAGGTCCAGGAGGAGCGAGCCTTGGGGCGAGTCCTCGGCCAGGCGGACGGTGTAGGAGGAGCGCTCGAAGACCGGGCTGTTGTCGTTCGAGTCGGCCACGCTGATGCGGAGCAAGGACGAGCCCGATCTCGGAGGGTCTCCGTGGTCGCTGGCGACCAGCCTCAGTTCGTAGCTGGCCTGGCTCTCCCGGTCCAACTCCCGGACCACCACCAGGTCGGCGGACTTGGCGCCGTCGGCCCCGGTGCGGACCTCCAGGGCGAAGTGAGGGTTCGGGCTGAGCGTGTAGGTGTGGAGCGAGTGCTCGCCCAGGTCCGGGTCCACCGCGCTGTCCAGCGGGAAGCGGGACCCCACCGAGGCGCTCTCGAAGATCTCCAGCGGGATAGCAGGGCGCGGGAAGTGGGGCGAGTGGTCGTTGATGTCCAGCACCTCGACCTCGACCTGGATGAGCTGCAGGTGCTCGGTGGGCAGGGTGATCACGTCGAAGGCGATGCGGCACGCCGCCGCGCTCGGCTTGCACAGCCTCTCCCGGTCCAGGCGCTCGGCCACGCTCACCTCACCGTCCCGTTCCCGCACCGACAGCAGAGACGCATTCACCCGCTGCTGCATCACCCGGAACCGCTGAGACGACGGGTTGAGCTCAGCCGCCAGGGTCTCGGACAGCCTCCCGATCACCGTGCCGACCGGCTGCTCCTCGTACACTTGGTACTTGACGGTGATAGCGGCCACTCCTTGTCCCAGCCACACGCTCAGCACAAGGGCCAGGAAGAAAGTCCGCTGGCGCCTCTCACCCGCTTCTTTCCCCATCTCCATCAACTTCTGGAACGCCTTCAACTCTCTACTCTCTATCCCAGAAAGAATAAACTCCCTATCGATTCCCACCGAGCCCACTCTTCTTGTTCACTCACGGGACATCACATTGGACGCTAGGGCTTCTTTTTTTTGGCAGCGGTCAGGACAAAAAGCAGGCTTCATGTAACAAAGTCGCGGCGCCCCGCAGTCGCGTGCTAAGTTTTCTTTCAGCCAGAGAGTCAATGCTATCGAAGAAGTTTTTCTGCAGCTGAAATATGGTGTTTTCTTTTTTTGTTGGGGAGGGTGGCCGTTCGAGGTGGAAGAGGAGACGAGGTTGTCTGATGACCTCCCCCGGGCTCTGACCCTCACGCTCAGGCGGCTGTGTTACACTCTCCCTCGGGCGGCTGGTTACACTCTCTCCCTGGGCTCTGACCCTCACTCTGAGGCGGCTGTGT